TTTGAAATCGATTGTTAAAATAACTCTCGATAAAAATGTGAGTGAATTTAATATATTGTATTTTATGAGCTAATTTCATCATATAATTAAAATAGATAATCAAAAAAATGTTTTAAAGAGATAATTACAAATTCTATAACATTATGATTACTATGAGATGAGGTTAAATAAAAGTAACATGATCATGTGGGAATTTATTTAGTCAAAAGATATAATTGTATTTTCTCAAGAAAAATTTCATATTTTGTTGAGAGGCATAGGAGCTAACTAGAATAGTAGGGTATTTTTGTAGGGCAACAAGTTGATATAACTTTAATAAAAAGTCATTATACATAACAATAAATTTGTTCCTTTAACTATATTATAAAAATTATATATTACTTTAAACCAAGGCAAAAGAGGCTGACTTTGAATTAAAAATTCACAATATCAAACCTTTACGGCTAACATTTGGTTTGTTTTAATTTTAGCCTCTATTTATTCCTCTTTAATTAGCAGCAAAAGAAGAAATGACTCATTTTGTGGTGTCCTAATATTCTTAGAGGGGGAGAATCTTATCTTGATACTTCAAATGACTCATGCTAAAAAGCAAACAAATCTCTTGGTCTGTTTTAATTTATATGATAATTTTTTAATTTATTTTGAAAAAAATAAAAAAGTTTAAATTGCAATCGATTGTATACTTCTCATTTAACTGTTGAGTAGTGATTTGTCTAACCATAACAATATTATGGTACGTTTGAAGCAACAAATTTCGAAATGTTTATCATTATACCAGTACAAATATATTTTAAATCACAAATTTTAAAAGTTTTCATTTCTCTTCAAACTTCACGCGAATTCATAATATATCAAATATTAAATTAGAATGGAGGAAAATATTTAGTGTTGGTATAAGTTTCCCAAATCTTATAAATATTTGTTACATGGTGTACCATATAGCATTGGCTTAGCTACATCGATTTGAACACTCGTCGTCCAAAAATTGTTTCTCGCGTAAAGAAAATAATATTATAGGTCAAAAACAACTTATATATACAGTATATACTATAGTTTTGTATATCTTGAACAAAATTTTTAACTTCGCCATTACAATACTTTTTATTGAAGTAACTCTTTGTTTAGTCAAGACATCGTTTTCATTTCTTGTGGTACATTTTCAACTCCTTAATTTGACTCGATAAATTATATTGCATCTAAAAGAAGAATCATAGTAGTTATAATAATCACACAATTACATTGGTTCTACTAAATTAACAAAGCTTCCATCTATGATCTATCCTAGGTTATGGTTTTTTTTCCCTTTCATTTGGTGGATAAGAAGTGGAAAACCATTTGAATATATTAGAAAAAATAAAATCATTATAAAGATTTCAATTAAAAAATCTAGTAAAGATTAAAATCTTTTAGATGATATTGGAGAATCCATGCTGGAGGTGTTTGTCTGTTTTAGTCCACTTAACTACAAAATTAATTTTGATCATGCATGTTATCTCCATTATCAATATCATCATATAAAATATCCCTTTTTCTTCCTTATAAATAGAATTATCCATGATAATCTCCATGCAACAAACAACACTTATACACCTTCTTACAACTCAATTAGCCAAAAACCCTTCATTGATTTTTCTTTGCTTAATTAATTAATCTTCACCTATGGCTAATTCATCATCAAAAATGTTCATAATCCTCTTCATGATTATTTTCCTTTTTTGTCACTTTATTTCTTTGGAGGGTCGTATTCTTGATGATCTTCAAGTTGTTCAAAACAAATATGATAGTCATTTTGTTCTTAGCAAGGCTGGATTTAGCCCTAGGGAGATTGAGGAGTATACGAGGCGATCTTTAAAAGGCGGTTCAGATAGAGTTGTACCTGGTGGACCTGACTCTCAACATCACTCTTCGCCTCCGACTAACTAGTGTGCCCAATATATGATGCTCGGATCCTCTAAAAATGTCTCTATCATATCTATGTCGAATCTTTCAAAAATGTACTCATAACTTTTATTAGGCCCTGCATAATATTTTTGAAGGATCCGAGCATAGCATACATAGCACATGAGAGAAGAAGGTGGGAGTCATTAATTGCTTTTACAAATTTCGTTTTCTCTAATTCCTTTTAAAGCGTCCCTTTTTCTTTTTCTTTTTTGTCTAAAAATGTCTCTGTCAAATCTCATCGACGCATTTTTGCAAGATCTCATGAAATAATATGAGAAAAAAGCATCATGCATGTATCCATCGTGTAACTTATAAGATGAGAGATGATTTTTAATGAGAATTGTCCTTAATTTGTGAAATGAGCCTTTGTTTCTGATCGTAGTGTTAAGAATATAATTAACTAATAGAAATGTGTTCTCTCTAATAGTTTAAACTTTTAAATGCGATGATCATACACTTTAACATGATATCAGAGTAGTCTAAGGTCCTAGATCACCCATATCAAAAAACAAAATCCTACTTGCTTGATATGAAAAAGAATCAAGACTCGTAGATGTTCTTTCTAACATGTTAAACTTTTAGATGAGATGATCACACACTTCAGCTTTTATACACTCTTGATATATATTAGTTAAATTCTTATAAAATAAATCTTTTTGGTGGATTCTAAACTATTGCTTTTAGGGTTCTCACTATTTAGATAACAATTTTACTACATCTTCCTTGGTAATTACCTACGTTACAATTCTTAACTAAATAGTACTAACATTATCCAAACCATGCATATAGTACTTAGCTAGCTTCACTTCTTTATTTTTTTTATTTAAAAAATATATCTATTAATTAGCAATCATATGCTTGTTATTTAATAGCAATCATATGCTTGTTATGGATGCATTGTTAATTATATTTTAATTTTTATTAGTTTTCCAGATAGATATATATTAAAAAAAAATAAACTACCATATACATATATAGCACATTGTACGATAAACTTAATTTGTGCATAAAATAAAGAATGGATACAAAGATCCTATGATAGTGACACCAAATGAAATTAACATATCATTAGATTTCATTTAATACGTTGCCCTTGTCAATGATAGATGTTTTTTGACAATAATTAAATATTAGGCACCAAAAACCCTAAAAAATATTCCATAATCCTACCTAAAACCCGTGCTAAAAGTATACATTGTCACAGGATTAAAGCAATATTATTTATTTTTCAACTACTTTAATTGTTTTGTCCTTTAGTAACTGCCAGACAAAATAACTAATAATGATTACGTGTTAATATCGTGCTTAGTACATGATTTGTCTCTCTATAAATAATAATTAAAAAAACCCCTAAATTATTACTTCTTCCCGATTTAAAAAAGTAATATTTAATTGTAAAAGTTTCATATATTTTAAATATTTTGAATTGTCAAATGTTATATGTACTTTTTATCCAGTTTATAAATATAATAATTTCATTTAAAAAATTTAAAAATTCCATTTATAAATTTTCGATCATACTTAAATTGTTTGACTCTTCCAAAACGAAATGAGAAGGCATAAAAAGAATTTAGCAAACTCAAGCAGTCAGAGATAAGTAATACTCCAAAGTTTTAATTTATTTTTCTTTTTAGTATATACTTTTTAACATTATTTTTTATCTAGCTTTGACAATTCTATAATTTCAACATCTCTAATTAAGACCAAAATAACTAAATGGTATATACGCTTTTAATTTAAGATCACAAAAAATTAATGAGTGTTTGTATATGAACTTAATTATTACTTATGATTTATAAGAATAACTTATTTAATATTATTTTTGGTTAAAGTTACTTTTATTTTATAAAATTACTTCAAAAATTATTTAATCCTAAAATACTAATACACTATGTTCAACACACAAATTACTATTTACATTTTTTCCTGTGCGTTCCCTCTGTATCGATATGGTTATAAAGTATTTCTAATTTAATACTCTAATTAGTAAAAATCTTTACAAATCTATTTACAATTGGAGTTATTAATAGTTATAATTAGTTATCGAAATGTTCACTTCATCTATTTTACTTCTGTGTTCTTTTTTTTTATATATAAACCACTCAATAAAAAAAGTATATATTTTTGAAAAAGAATTAGAAATAGCAAATATCTTATAAGTTTATTTGCTCCACTAACTAATATACCAATAAATATACAAATTATATATTTTTATATCTAAAAATTTAAATTATATATTTTTATATTGTAGAATATTTATGTACTTCACTTGTCTCGTCAAATATACAAGATAAAAGGTATACAAATAGTTAGAATAAACATATATAAAATTCTAAATTTATATCATCAGAATTTTTTTTACACAAATTCTAAATTAATACAAATAAAACAAAGAACAAAAATTTGAAAAATTGTGAAGATAAATTATAATTTTCTTAACTTAAAAAGATTAAATGATTATTATTTTGCATAATTTTCCCTAGATTTAGTCTTCACATTTAAGTTCAAGACCACATAACATATGAAAGAACAATGAATACCGTATCAGTATATTACCTAAAACCAAATTAAATCAGAATTCTACGGTCATTAGTGACTAACAAAGGACTTCATAAAAATGAATGAAGCATACGAATAGTTTAATTTAATACTTCTCTATTTTCGGTATATATCATTTTAACAAATCAAAAAAAATAATTCCTTTTTTAATAATTGTTCATAAAAATGAATGAAGCATACGAATAGTTTAATTTAATACTTCTATATTTACTCGTATATATCCATTTTAACGAATCAAGAATAATAATTTTTTATAAATATATTTTTATTTAATTTTAAAAAATTTATAGTACTATTAAATTGTAATGCATGCTTTTTAAAATAAAAAAATTACATTTATTATATTTAAAAAATTTGATCTTTTAAATTAAAGAATAAAATCATAACAAATCGATGATAATAAAAAAATTACATTTATTATATTTAAAAAATTTGATCTTTTAAATTAAAGAATAAAATCATAACAAATCGATGATAATAATTAATGTCTTTGATATGTATTTACTTTTAAAGTGAACAACTAAATAGAAATTAGAAAATATAATCATAGAGAAGAAACGATACATCGTCAAGGCTTTAATGCGACGCACCAAAAGTACAAGTCACTATTATTAACACAAAAACAAACCTAGAGAACACAGTTTCTACACGATTTGCGACTAATTATTATTCAATAGTCTATAGAACTAGAAAATCGAAAACCAAAATCAAAACCAAAACCAAAACGAAACGATGTAGGTCCATTTCAAGTTTTCTTCATTGTGGTAGTAGTAGACTCTTCCTCAATTCCCTCAACTGGTTCATCTCGAGGGCGACCTGCAACAAGTTCAGTAGTTGTTTTCCCAATCTCAACTATAGTTTCGCCAATGGCTTGCAACACCACCGCTGCACCTTCCACCGGCTTGCTGCTTTCTTTATCCCCTCCTCCGTGTTCCTCCAAGTAAGATTCTTCGGTTTCCTCTTTGGATTTGAATCCACGCTTTTTTTCATCAATCTTCGGTCCTCCTCTGTTTTCTCCCTGTAAAACAAGATTGATGAATCAATGTACCATTAGTCAACACTAATTACTTAAAAAAGGGGGAAAAAATCCAATTACCGTTTGTTTACCTTGGTGTCTTCTTGTAACTTCTTAGCTTCTAATTCTCTCTCTGCTTCTGCTTTTTTCCTAGCTGCATACTCTGCTGCACTTTCTTCAGCTGAAACTACAAAATCCTTGGCAGCAGCCAACGTATCCTCTGCAAATCCCACTGTTTTCTTTCCAGCATCAACCACCAAATCCTTTGCGGCCACTGTCGTTCCTCCGGCGTACCCTGCGACGGTAGAAGTAACACCAGCTATAGCTTTAGTTGCATCTGCAGCTTTTTCAGCAGTGAAATGTGCAACTCCCCATCCAGCTACAACCGTTTTGTCCTTCACTGTTTCAGCTACTTTCCCTGCGTATCCTACCGCGCCTTTTCCTGTTTCTAATGTAACATCTTTAACTTGTGCTGCCTTTTCGCCTACATAACTCGCTGCACCTTTGCTCTGTTCTTTAATTTCCCCTGTTTTTTCAGCAACATAATCTTTCGCCTCCCCTGTTTTTTGCATTGTGTAATCTTTAGTATCCCCTGTTTTTTGCATAGTGTAATCTTTAGCCTGTTGTGCTGATTCAGCTGCAGTTTGTCCGGCACCCGAAAGGGTGTCTTTAGCTTCCCCTGTTTTTTGCATTGTGTAATCTTTAGCTTGTTGAGCTGATTCAGCTGCAGTTTGTCCGGCACCCGAAAGGGTATCCTTAGTTGCAGCATAAGCTTGTTGGCCTTTTTCGACAGCGACGTCTTTAGCAGCTCCAGTTTTTTCAGCAATATACTGAGTTCCCTTTTGAAGGCCCTGAGTAATGGTGTCTTTAGCTTGTGCACCCTTTTCTGCTGCCGCAGCAGCAATTCCATGAGTTGTAGATTCTTTAACATTCTGCAATGTCGAACCACCCATTCCCTTCGCCTTTTCATATCGCTCTTCAGCACCCCTTATCGCGTTCATCGATTTCTGCTGTGCCGTTGCTCTGTACTGAGAAATTTCCTCCAAAGACGGACCACTTTTCGTCTCTTCAGCACCGCCTTCGCTCTGTTTTCCTCTGTTCATAACGGAATCTTCGTGTTCTTGGCCCTGAACTCCAAATTTAACACCTTCTGGTTTCTCTTGGAAGACCTGTTGCTTACTCCCTTGAGTTTTATCGATTATATCAGATGATCGTTGTTTCTCCGATGGATGAGGAACAGTACCAGTAACAGTAGTCTTGACATGAACAACATCAGGAGGAGAAGTTGATGTATCCTCCTCATGAACTTTATCAGCTAGGGACTCGAAATGACTAGCAATTTTATGAACTTTATCTTTCTCAAGCTGGATTTTCCTTTCATCAGTAACATTCTCTCTTCTCGCTTGCTCTGAAGCCATTGTCGTCGTTGATAACAAAACAAAAATTACAATATAAATTTCTATATGATGGATGAATTTGATAACAAGAAACAGAATGAGTCTTTTATACCAGAGAAAATTTAGAGTAGCATTGTGATAAGTATCTGTTGAGAATTGACAAGTGGTTGAATGTTAGCAATTTTGTGATAGCAACGTGGTGAAAAAAGATAGCTGATTTGAGAAACTTCATGACTCAGCAGCTACATGCTAACGTGTTGCCTTTGCCGTCGTGTGTATCACTTCTATTTTTATGATGAAGCGTAAATAGCTTTGTCCAAAGGTTATCCTAAGTGGAGTATACCTATTCTATTTGACATAATACACGTAGAATGCTAAGTAAGATTTAAAATTATCATGTGTGGTTCAATGTATAACGAATATCTTCATTTCCTCAATCTTATACAAGTTTAAGTGTATACTAGTCCACATCTAAAATAAAAAATTATAATTATCAATTAATGCTAAATTAAAGATCATAATTATATATTATGCTTATAATTTAAAAATATCCTTAGTTATATATGGAGAAAATATTTCACGTGGTAACTTAATTTTGAATAAATTATTTAGAAAATCAAACTCGTTAATTATTTCTTTCTTTTTATATGTAATAATTTGACTCATTATGAAACTTAAGAAAAAAAAGAAATTTTTTAAAATTTGTAATAATAAAAAATTGTATAATCATAAATTATTTTATTAAAATTAAGAATAAAATAAATATTTATAATGAATTATTACACAATATAGAATATGTCTTTTCTTTGACCGACCAGAAAGGAAATGGGAGGGATGCTATTTTACTTAAAAAGTCTCGATTATTGATATTTTAATAAATAGTTATCCAACTAATTTAAATAATGTTTTAATTAAATTTTTATTGAGATAGAGTTACTGTTTTAAACTTGCTAATTTTAATTATTTTATTAAATTTCGTTGAAATGCATTTTTTGTTATGAACTATTTTATTTTTTGAATCAAAATAAAAAGTTAAGATTGCTACTCTGCATTGGCCAATTGACCTATTGCTCGATTTCAACCTTTTTTTTATAAACTAAATAATAATCATATTTCAGCATATATATAGTTTCAACAATTGCTAAAAAGGGAATTCTTTTTGTCATTTGCTACTATGAGTTCTTTTAAAAAAATATGTAATTAACAGTGAGAGAGGTATAGACAAGATAATTAAAATATATATTATATTATGTTTTAAAAATACAATTTAAAGATAAGATTTAAATAAAATTTAATGAAAAAAATTATTCAAATTAATTGGGTGATTTTCTAAGGAAATATTAATAATTAAATGACTTTTGAGTTATTAAATAAAGTTAATAACTTTCCAAGTGAAAAAGTAAGTGAAATGACTTTTCAAGTGAGTTATTTAAAGTTGATTGACCATTTTAGTTAATTATATTAATATTTATGTACATTTATTAAGGATAAAAAGTGATCTTATAAGTTAAAAGTTATTTATAATTACAATAGTAACATTTTTTTCAAGTCAGACTAAAAAAAGGATATCAAATAAAATATGAAATAATTATTACATTAATGATTTAAATTTTATTTTTATATTTTAAATATAAAAAAATACTATAAGTAAAAGATAATGATGTGATTTAAACTCACAATTCTACCAATTTTTTTTGATTATTTTTAAATAGATTTACTACTATAATATAATGTCAACTATTCTTTTAATAGTTATATTTATGAAAAGGTTTTTCAAAATAAATTGACTAGCAGTAATTCGTGACTTCACATCTAAGAAAATTAAAAAAAAATTAAGTTTTAAAAAAAAACAAATTAACTTTAGGCCTCTCTAATCTTATTAAGTTGCTCTACTTTTGCTCAAACTTATAATCAGCAAAAGAAACTCATTAACTTGAAAATATGTCCTATTAAATAGAAAAGTTGTCCCATTCATTGTTCGACATAGTATCGGTAGTTGCATAAACTTTTTGATCATTTCTTTAAGAAATGTTCAAGAAGTTTATGCAATTATTGACAGTGTCAAACAATAAAAAGAAAAGTTCTAAAAATTATTTAAGTAAATTTTAAAAATTATTTGAGCGATTATTAAGATATTTTTTTAATTTATATAAATAACTTATAGTTATTCAATGTAAAAAGATAATTGTATTTTATTATATATAATAGGAAAGATTCCTTCAACTTAATAAACTCAGTCATTTGTTCCAATACATTACATTGGTTCCTCTTCTTGAAAATCTTATTGATAAATAATAATCTTTTAGTAGTTTAATTTAGAGTTTTAAAATATCAAACTAAATTACTACGTAGAATTAAAAACTTAAATTTTGCAAATGTTATGACTTTATAATTATGTAAAGAACTTTTCTAAATATTAATTGTACTTCATATATAATGATATTTTTCTGGTGGTTATAAAAAAACTTTTGCTAAAAACAAACTACAATTATTTTCTAGTAATTATAAGAAGATTTTTGATGAAAAAATTAAAATTAATCGTAAATTAATATTGAAATTTAAAACATAATGATCAGGAAAATTCAATGCATTTTTATATATTTCAATATACAAGAAAGTTACACAAAAATTATATTAAAAAGAGTAGGAACGAAATTTGATGCTATAAAATTAACCTTTACTATAATTTTATTTATCATTACCAAAAGATTATTTTTTTAGATTTTAATCTGATTTGTTCGATTAAGTGAGTAAATTAAATTATCACCTTTAAGCTTTCTTCACTTGTTTGAATGTTCCTTTATTTCCATGCATTGAAACACACTTATCACCTTTCATTTCTCTATTCTTTAGAACATAATCAATAAAAAAAAAATCATTACTTCATAGCTCTGTATGAATAGTACTATTCATGAATCGATATTTCATCGTTAAAATGTAAGAGAATTACAATTAGTTGTCTATTACAGTCTATCGTTAGCGTTAGTTGATTGGGTTGAGTTTAACTCGTAAAAAATTTAATTTGTCCTGCCCCACCCTGTCCTTTCCACGCCAAGATCGCGCCACGTCGCCTCCCAAGGACGAATAACTCATCTCGACCCTCCATCTCTCTTCCCGCTCGAGTCGTCCTTCCGCTTTTGAAGAGATTTTCGAATTTGAAATTCGAAAGGGGCCATCGTCGATCCCGCCCAAACTCGAAAACCCTATTTGTTTTCTTCTATTTAAACCCCCAGACCCTTCAATAAGGGGGTTGGACGTTTCTTTGACAAAAATTGGCAGAAATTTTAACATAGAGAAGGTTGAAAAATTGAGAGTTCGGAGAAGTTCCAGCCAGTGATTATAGGGATTTTCAGAAGAGATTTTCTTCCGTGTTTTCTGTTACGAAGAAGAATATTGTTGAGGACTATAAGATTTTTTCTTGTGTATATTCTTCAGAAAGAGAACGTTTCAAATTTCTTGGAAACTAGTGTGAATTCGTATTTTTTGAGCGAGCGAGAAGAAGAAGGAGTGTTCCATCGTCAGGTTTCGTGGGCTGAATCGCTTCC